ACTACCTCAGGTTCTTTTTCATGTTTGGAAGGAGAGGGTGAGGTGCGGGGTGTTCAGCTGCAACATGAAATTTCAAAACTAGATATCACAAAATTCTACTTGAAATCCCCCAACTTTACAGTCTCCCTGCGCAGGATGCCGACCTCCTCAAAGAAAAAGTAATATTCCCCATGACAGGGACGTTATCATATAATAATAGCATTGTGGAAAAACTACTGCCATTTCTTACACCGGTCAGAGTTTGTTTTTGCTTTGAAAATGATTTTTCTTCATTTATAACTCATATAATTCATTTATAAACTCCATCTCTGCCTAAACTTTGATTTAGTGTCATATGTATTCAATGATATAAACATTGATCTTAGATGATAAAAGGTGTTTAAATGGTTTTAAAATGTTTGAAGTGCATCGTGACTTATCTATTTTTATTTTTTTGCGGCTTTCATCAATCTTATGAGGTCTCAACATCCGGATGAAACCAGCACGTCTGATGTGTTTTTCTCCTGTGTGTTTTTTCTGCAGCTTCCGCACATGCCTCACATCAGCGAGTGTCTAATGAAAAGAAGCCTGAAGCCCACCGACCTGAGAGACATGACGCTGGGTCAACTCCAGGTTATAGTCAACGACCTGCACTCTCAGATTGAGAGTAAGTTTGGCCACACACACACAGAGTCACTAATCTCTACTTTCATTCGCAGAAATTGGCTAGACTACAGATGGGGAATCACATGCACAAACATACTGACCCCTGTCATTTTCTGTGAATGTGAAAGTACTTCTATATATGTTAGTCACTTCAAAGAACTGTTACAGTTAGCAGCTTCCCCTGAACATTTACTGTTAACACACAATAACACATCATTTATCCTGCTGCTGATGAATGATGTCTTATCTAACTAAAAGCAGATATAGAAATCCCCACATGTCCAACATGAGGAGCGAGGTTTTACTTGGAAATAAAGACTTTCCCCTCAAATATCTCCTCTGTATGAGAATTGTTTTATTTTCTCGGGAAAGCTAAAGGAACAATAGGTGACACATGTCACATGAAAATAGCATTTCGATGACAAGATTACACAAAAACAGAGTGCCATTTCTCAATGAATTTTCCACTCCAGGTCTGAATGAGGAACTTGTGCAGTTGCTGCTGATCCGAGATGAACTACATATGGAGCAAGACGCCATGCTGGTCGACATAGAAGACCTCACCAGGTGATGAAGCACTTAATAAGTCACCTATTCACAACATTTACAGTTAGAATATCACTAATCTACAGGGTATTTGTTCGTAGTTTTCAGCATCAACCAAGTGACATCGCTGGATGCAGTTTTTCAGATTCAGAATCAGCTTTAATTTGTAAAGTCGTGAAAGAACCAATACAATCTTGGATCCAGGATTCTTTTTTCACTTTCTTTAAAACTTAACACGACATGGGGCATTCAACATTTTTGTAGATTTCCCAGGGAGTAATTCATGAATTTTAATGAAAAAAATCAAGCATATTTAGGGAACTGATAACAATTTGGTGCAACTTGGATGAATTTAGGGACTTTTGGCCACAGCTGAGTTTCTGAGCAAGATTACACAAAAACATTATTTTCTCAGGGAATATAATGAATGGATTTTGATGATTTGATTGATTTTGTTTTGGTCTTTTCTTGGGTTTTATTGACAATGAGAAAAATATAAATATTCAGACTTCTTCGTTAAATTACCTTTTTTCCTTTTCTATTTTCCAGGCATGCTGAGAGCCAGCAGAAACATTTGGCTGAGAAGACCCTATCCAAATGAAATGCCTGCCCCCACTCCTCCCCGCTCCCCTCTTCCAAGATTAGCCCTCGGATCCAAACCCTAACCCTAACACCACCCCCCCGGCCATTCACCCTCTGCCCCGAGTCGATCCGAGTCCTGCCCCGCTTGTCCCAACGTACTTTGCTCCTCTCCGCTTTCCCTGTCACCCCCCTCGTCTTACCTTCCTGTCCCACCCCACTGACTCCAGTGGTAGCAGCAGCACAGAAGTAGACCACTCTCTTTCATTCGCTTCTGTGGTTTTCTCGCAGCGCTAGGACGGTGACTTCCTGCATTGTGGGAGAAGAGGATTGTGTGTTGTCATGGATTCTGTCCCCAGCTTCCTGTGCAGTGATCGGCCTTGCTTTGCTATTGTTTCTTTTTAACTTTCTACATTCGCCACTAAATTATAACTGTTCAAATGCAAAAATTGTGGGAAAAAAATAAAATAATAGTGAAAACTTTAGTAGAAAGTCATTCATGAGAAAAAAGAAACAACACTGTATAAAAACAAAAAAAACGATGGAAAACTAACTTCTTCAGACCATTTTAAGTTGGACAGTAATTTTAAAGTATTTCAAAGTCGACCTGTTTTTATTCTGCACAAACGGTAGTTTTCAACTGAGAAATGTTCCTTTGAAGGTGCTAAAAGAGTGTAACAGAAACATGCCTGCCTTGTAGTGGAGTCGTAGCTTTTGGTAATACATTCACTCTAATTGCTCTTCAACATTTTGTGAATGTTGATTTTCTGACACGAGTCATTTTAAATGAATAAGTGTGTTAATATCGTTTTCATCCTGTTGTATTCAGAAACTTTATTTGAGGAAAGAAATGTTATTGTACAGATATGTAAAATAAAGAATAAACTTTGTTTTATATACGTCGGGTTGTTGCGTGAGTTATGTCATTGGAGGAGATCTCCGTTTGTTCTGACAAAGAAAATGTGTTCAGTCAAATTTTACGGATGTAAAAAAACAAATTAAACATCAGATAATCAAATTATGAATAGACTTAAAAACAACAGAGACGCTAATGTAAAAAACTTGAATGACCATGATGTTGTGTACCTCTCACATAAAGTACTGCAATAGAAAGGAGGTAGACACAAACTGTGTCTTAATTCAAGGGCTGCATCCTACGGAGGCTGCATTCGAAGACCGATTGGTTCACAGTTGCACAGCTACACTGTCCCATTTCCAAGGCTCCATCAAATACGACCAAAAACGAGCAGACGATGCCAATCACAGAAATTGTCTGCAAACCAGACGCATTTGGTTAAACTGAGCTACGCAGCTACATCCTTATGAGGAGGGGTCTCTCACAAGTGGACTTAAAGGGATATTTCACCACAAAATTTTAATTCACTCCTTGCTCACAACAAAACATTGCTCACAAAACACTTTTGGTTTAGGTTTCAGGGGTTTTAAGCCTAAATGTCCACTGTGATCCGAGTGCTAACGAGGCTCCGGAGGAGGATATGAAAGAACACTTTCATGATGTAAACACTAAAACCTGATGTAAATGACCCCATTTTGAATCAAATATGAAAGTCGGGGCTGCCAGATACCTGGATGACAACACAGGAGCAGTTTGGAGGCATGTTATGTTTTTTTCTGTTGTTTTTTTTCACGTTTGAAGCAGTGGTCACCATTTACTTCAGTTGTATTAGATTTGGCTGCAACACTGTTTAGTCCTGAAACAAAAGTGTTTTGTGGACGCAAACACTTAACCCACCCCTCCATTGGCATAGTGGTGAGTGGATAATGAGTGAATTTTTTTGGTTGAAATTTTTCTTTAAGGGTGCAGGATTTTGCCAAACATTCTACATTGACATTGCCGGCCTATACATGCTGGTTATGTGCAATTTGTGAAATTATAGTGAAGAAATTAGAACATCAGCTTCCTGTTTCTGATGGACCTTCACAGCTTTCGCAGCGTTTCACATAGGATGACTCATCACCTCTTGTGTTTCACTATTGCCTCATCATGACATCTTTTGTCTTTCTTCTCTTTGATCTGTGAGACTCCATATAAATGTGGACAACCCCTTTTTTTCTTATGCAAATAAACAACAAGCTGTTGGACCTTTGGGATTCAAGTTTTGGTTAAAGGTTTAAATGCACAGAAAAAACATTCTCTATGACTGGGTGGATAGTTATGAATAATATGTTAATTTCATGTACAATATGATAAATGTCTCTGTGAGGAAGTCCCCCCTCATTCACAATCTGTGTGAACACATACTATAGATACATTGTGGTGGTAGGTTTCAGTGGTCACTGGTCCAGCAGTAAAGCCTAACAAATGCCAGGAAACTCCATTGTAGTTTCAGAGAGTGAGTTTGGATCACAGCTCCTGAAAAGTGTGACTGTAGGTTGTGAGAAAAGGATGATGATGTAATTTCTTTTGTATTGAGGACATTGAAACTTGAAAAACTTGAAACTGACATGAGCAGAAAAAATGAACAAAGCCTGAAAGTTTCAAAAACAATTACGTCAGAATTAATGTAAAAGTTACATCATGGTGTTTGCCCAGTTGTCATGAAAGTGTCGGACGTGCAGAGGATTGAATTTAGATTTTATTCATTAATTTAGGATTCATTTTATGAACTTTCTGGCCACTAGGGCATGAAATTTAACATGGAAAAAAATCTTACCCAACAACCACTGATGATTTTCATGTAGATATAGATAGATAGATAGATGATGGGGAAGCAGTGTTTAACTTTACTTACTGGGGGTGGTTTTGACATATTTCATCATAATTTATAAACTTTTTAATATGAAATCTTAACTTAATATGGTACTGTAATAGTTAAATAAATGTAGTGGAGTCAAAGCTATCATATTTCCCTCTGGAATGTGGTGGAGTAGATGTATAAAGTACCAGAAAATTGAAATCTTCCAGCACAATTCCAATTAGCAAAAACATGCATAACCTTTTCAAAGAAACATCGCTTGGTTACCGGTGACATCACACTTAAAGTTTTGTTGAACTCGTAGACGCATTCTCTTAAACAATGAAACAAAAACCGTGCCTTCCCTTTACTGATGTGTGCTGGAAGCTCAACGAGGAAATTACGCGTGACGTTCTACTTTTCTTTTTGCTGTTGCTCCTGCAAGAGGAGGAGGAGGAGGAGGAGGAGGGAATCCCCGAGACAGCCTATAAATCTGTCAGATAAGAAGTTGGCGGCACAACACAATCTGATTTACCGGGCTCCACCACAGATTTCTATCTGAGCAGAGACATGGCCAACTTTCATTTGTGTAAGTCTCAGGCCGCAGTGCACTGTTTTCCTGTTTTACCTGTATTAACTTTAGCCTGCTGCATTGTGTGCAAAACTAAACATCGCAGTGATTTATTTCCACACCAATGAAACCCGTGTTTTGATGGTTGTCCCTCAGACCTCGCCAGCTGTGCGCTGCTGCTGACGCTCGGGTGGCGCACATCCACAGGACTCCCGCTGAGGACAGACAATTGCGCACAGTGCGCACTGCTCTTCAAGGGCCTTCTGCTGAACATCACGGAGCTTCTGGACAACGTGAGTACAATTCACTGAGACAAGTTCATGCTGTAATGCAGAATCTCTAAAATCAGCTTTAATTCTAATGAATTCCTTTATGTTGTCCATCAGGATATTTTGTGTTATGGCATCACATCGGATAAGGTGGTGGTGAGGAGTAAAGCTGAGACTTCACTCGCCTGCGCACCCACTCTCACTCAGGTGACTTGTGTTCATTTATCAATCAATTCTTCAAGGAAATCCAAACTCAACTCTGAGTTGTCTTCGCATTTTCTTTAAGGAGTATGTGGGGATACTCGGCCCACTCCGGGAAAATACTGGAAGAGAGAATGGCGTTTTTACAATGTCCTTTATTAATTCTCCGCCTCGTCAGGCGCATACACACACATACACAGGGTCTCTCGACCCACACACGTCCACCCGGTTACTCCTCGTCTGCTCCCGCGTCAGAAGCCCAGCCTACTGCAGGAGAGCAGAGCCAGGTCACCAGCGTGCTCTTGTTGATGGCCTGATTATCTGATTCTGCACATCTGACCGCATCCCGCCGCCACAGAGTATAAATGGGGAAACAGCCTCACAATTTCAGCTTCCATTAACATTTACTCTGTGGTTGCGCTTGTAATAAATGACCTGATCGGTCCAGAGATGCCTCAGGGCACCAGATTTGAAAATCTAATTCTCCAACAAAGTGTCTAAAACGTTTCTCCCTATACTCACAGAACTCAAGCTGCATGATGCAAAGAAATTCGCCCTTTAGTGAGGTATGTGGTTGTTTCTATTTCTTTTGTAATGCTTTTCAAAATGAGAAATTGTTGTTGCACATAGTTGTAAATAAGAAATCTATTTTGCTTAACATTTGTTGATATTTTACATTACAAACCAAAAGCAGACAAGTGACTGTATTATATATATATTATAGTATTTGCTTTTGTCTCGGCAGAGTGAATGTTTGATGAACATCATGAAGGACTTGGTTTACTATGACGCTGCTATTAGTTCTTACCTCAAGTCCCCACTCAGAAGTCCAGAAGAAGAAGTTGCACTTCTGAGCCCAACTCTGGGAATAATAAAGAGCTTGAAGGTGTGTTTATCATGCATTTGTAGGAGGGGTAAACACACACAAACAGAAACAGATTGAGAATCTCCTGGGAAATAACATTTTCATGTTGGCTGATGAAATCTTCCTTGGTTTATACAGAACTGCTCCCTGATGCCGAATGAAGAGAATGACACCTCAGAGGTAATTTTACGTTTCTTTTTATTTGTTTCCCATTTACTCTTCTTTTAGCCTTTCAAAAGGAAGAAAACTTCCTGATCCTTGTAAAAAAAATTCATGCAGGGAAATTCAGGTGCTTTTTTGTGCAAAACCTGCAGGTGATTATCATGTCCTTGTGTTGTCTTTCAGGAGGACGTTGCTCAGATGTGGGGGAGCGACACCTACACTAACAGACAGGAGATGTGCAAGATGATGAGAGGCTTCTATGTCCGAACGATCACCATCAACCGAGCTGTGGGCTACATCGCCTCAGGAGACCACAGGAAGTAATCAACCTGCAGCCTCATCATCATCACCATCATTCCAATCAGTGCCACAGAATCTCCTTTAAATCATTGCAACTTTGCAAAATCTTCTTGATCATTCACTACCATCACTTGTACCTACAACTACTGACCAAATAGTTCGTCACACTGTACATGATGCACCACTGTCAGCATGGTTATTGCTCAGACATAAACTAAGCTGACTTGATGCCAGTCTCATCACCCAGTGAGAGCTGAAAGAGTCAACCTCTTGCCAAGTTTAGCAGTGGAGGCCATGTTGGCCTTTTTATACATATGAATGTAATCCAATATTTGGGGTAATGTATCTATTTATGAATATATTTATTAATTCTATTTATTTGATGGCCTGTGATGTTATTTATTGAAATTGAATAATAAAGTATTTTTTTGGTATCAAGCTCTGGAGTTGAAGTTTTTTTGTGTGTATGAAACAGGAACTGACACTGTTCAAATGAGAATGGCTCTCAGCAGAGTTCATATCTCCACCAAGTCCCCTAATGATACTACATTTAAATTCACCACATCCTCATTGTTTATTTGATCTGCACCAAACTGCACACACTCATAAATGAGTCCCTTGAACATGTCTGAATTTCTTTTTATCTGAGAAATCAATAGAAATGTAAAAAAAAAAAGGACTATCTTGCAAGACAAAAATGTCCTGGATTCACCCCGGATCTGGAGCCTCACCAAAATTTTGTCCTTGGGTCAAGTTCCACACCCCCTACAAACATTCATGAATCAGTTGAATGGTTTTTGCTTAATCCTGCTAACAGATACGAGTGGCAAAATAAGCACACTGGCTGAAGGAAAAATGAAGGAAAAGCTTATCTTGTTTTATTGAGTCTTCAACTTCATTTCAAAAGTATTTAAATGGACACAGACCTGATATTGATTTGATTACTGGTGTTAACCCCGTTTTCTGGATGTAAATATTGTTACATAATATCAGCATTACAGATGCAAAATCTGCAGTTCTTCCAAAATAGCATTGAGATGTCAGGAAGGGTGTAACCAATGTTTTTCACTGAATATTGAGAAAATTTAACTGAGATATGTTTAGGTATTTTTGTGCTTAGTTTTCATTTCTACATATGAAATGAGCCTAGAAAAGTAGATTCAAAGTGAAGGAATGTTGCCTGGCCTAAACTCACAGTAGAATACAGTGAGTCTGAGTCTCAGGAAGGCAGGAACAGTTTCATAGTTCAACTTTAAAGAATAATAATTAACCTTTCTCTCAACTCCATTGAGTTTTACAGGTTCAGATTTGTCAAATACAACATGAACAGAAGAAAAACAGACACAGTAGACTTACAAAATAAATCACAGGTTTAAAAAAGTTGGTAAAAAAACAAAGATATGTACAGGACACATCCGCACAAATATAAAAATGTATGAGACAACAACTAGTTCAGTAATTCAGTCCGCAATGCTTTGGACAAGAGAATAAAGATGGACAACATGACAGCTGCCAAACAGTGAAGCCAAGTGTCTCGATCGCCACCTGGTGGCTGAAATAATAGGTCTTGACCCAGCCTCCTCCATGTTAGTGGATGGGACATGGAGTAAAGTAAGAAGTCAAAGAACACATTAAATAATTATTATAAGGTGTTATAAAACTAGCGGAAACGTCATGCTGAGACCGACGATTGGTTGGGAAAGTGTATCTGCGAGACCTTATTAGCATCGCTTCACACCCTCCGCTTCACAAATTAAGCTTAAATTAATATTTAAGCTTGATTTCAGGATAGTGGGAGGAAGTGGAGACACGTTGTCCATCTATATATGCAGTCTATCAATGCCTTGGACAGTCACATGTATGTTCATGTGATGTAATGCCTAATCATTTTATAAAAACTCCAGAAATGTTGCAAGTAAAGTGAAACAAGATAAACAGGTTGGATTTTTCCTGATTTTTGCAGTTCAGACACTGCAGCACCTACATTTATATCAGTTACTATCTACACAATTAGCTGCTAAATATCTTAGTGACCTTTACCTGAAAAACCTCTACCTCTACTGGTCAGTTTAGAACCTCATAGTGCTCCGCATCAAATTCTGGCTACACAAAAATGCCTTTAGCTACAGCTCGTCTATTCTGTTTTACAATCGAAGGACCACTTTTGAACTAAATTAAGGAAAATGCCTTAATGACAGAGCCCCTTTTCATGAAATGCAGAAATACAAAAAAAATGCCCAAAAGAGGAACAAAGTAAGGGAGGAGCTGTTGTTTGGTCCAGCGGTCAACTCTGCGTCGCTGTATCCCTGAGATCATTTCTCCTCTGTGATGCCCAGAGGAGCAGATCAGTCCACTTAAGTCAAATCCCTTTTTCACTTCGCTGCTTGGTTGTTCATCATATCTGAAAATAGAAATAAATAATCACCTGTCGCCCCCACTGCCTAAGTGGATAATAATCATGAAAAAAAATGTCTGCAGTTTATTACCTTGCAGTGTCTGGCAGACCTCGTTTGGCAAGTCGTCCAGGTCCTCCACGCTGTTCCACAGGTGTTTCGCCGTAGCCTCTCCCGGCCGCCTCCTGCTCTTCCACTCCACCAGCATCTTCAGCTTCTGCATTGTCACATCACTTTTCTCCGCTGCCTGGATGTCGTCCAGGTCTCTGGAGTTCAAGTCCAGATAGATGGCCACCTGCTTCCATTCCTTCCCAAGCCGCTTGGCCACCTGCAGGAGCTGCTTCTCTGACATGTCCTGGCACTGAGTCGCTGTCTTCACTCCATCTGGAATAGGACACACAACACACACAGGTCCTTCATTTCAGTACAATTTTCAAAAGAAAGTTGCATCGGGGAATAGTTCGGATGTGGACTGGCTTCTGTTGAGTTGACTTTGGGAAAAGTCAGAATAATATTGGAATAAAGTCAGAATTTAATGAGAAAAATTAAGTATGAGAATAAAGTTGTAATTTACTAAGAAAAAGTTGCAATAGTCAAGAATCAAGTTGTTATTTAATGAGAAAAAA